TCACATCGTCTGCAGACAATCATAAAACAAGTAAAAAATTGTGATCTTAATTTAAACATTTAGAAATAACTAAAATTCCTCGAGATATCGTTTTGATCACTTCAATAACCATCATGTATATAATATATATGTGTATAGTGTATACACATGTGTATTTTGAATAGTAACAGCAATGATCTTGGATCAAAGGCAGTGAAAAAAAAACACATAATCCGTCTGGTTACTCAATTTCGCTATAAATAATCGAGAGGAATAATAAAATATGAAGACGTACTTTAACGTTTTGGAATCTATGTGCACCTTAAAGCCGCCTGTAATCATTGGTGGTTTTATATTATGATATCAAAGTAATAGTGAAGTATAATACATAATATTAATATTAAATAATAGATAAAATGTACTACACACTAGTACGTCATTCTATATAAGCCAGGCTTGGAGTTGTTCGCGGCCTGTAGCAATTGTGTCATATTTGTGTTGGACGATGTCTTCAAAGCAGAAACTATTCAATGAAATACGTGAAATCATTAATTGAATACCTAATATGACATTTTATCTTGTATATTTTTTTAATAATATTTAGAGTTCTTCGAATGTTTGAATGATTTTTATAAAAAAAAAGAACTGTTCAATTTAAAATATATAACTACGTATTCCATTTATAAACAACCAATTTATCTATTTTATCGTTATTCCAAAAATATTAATCGTAATAAATTGAAACTCGTCACTATTATTCTTTTTAATACAATGACATTTAAAAAATATTTAGTTTGACTTCAAATCTATTATACCGCTAACCTATTTACATTTTACACTGTTGTTATATTGACCTATAAGTTACAAAAATACTAATTTTTAATATTTTATGTTATGTTAAGATCATTTTTAAATACTAGTACTCTAATAGTTGTACTAATATATTAGAGAAATAAATTATCCTGATAGACACATAAATTAATATCCGATCAGAATCCTTTTTCTCCTGCAAAAACATTCGAATTTCACACACAATATATCCGTTACAGTCCGACCGACTCAATGAAGAGATAAACTCACAAACGTACTATATATTATACTTTCTCGGGGGGATTTTTGTTTGCATTAAAGTGTCCACGATTTTACAGAGTGCATTAAGCTTTATGGTATATACCCAAAGTGCATATTTTACCGCAAAGAATGGATATAGTTTCGAGTGGTGCAAAATCCTACGAGGTCCATAAAAATAGCTGATATTGAATAATAACAAAATATTCTCCCCCTTTTGCCTTACGACCGAAATTTTGAGATTTTCCGTTGATATAATTTGGTTTTTGCTTTCGTAAAATGTCCTGATACCGCGTGCCTAGTAAAATTATTACCAAATCGATATTCCTGTGAGCGAGCGTATTATACAGATCGAGACGATGCGGTGGCCTATTATTGCGACGGTGTAATTCCGTCGCAATGCGTACCCACTGCTGCGGATAGACGAAATAAATCCGACGACGAAAGGTTGGTCGACCGCGAGAGGTCGTGATTTCATCGTCTTCGTAGTTTTTTTTTTTTTTTTTTTCAGGGAGAGAGAATTATATCGATATAGTAATATGATGTACAAAGAAAGGCTTCGAAGCATGAGAAGATGTTCCGTACTTTATTTAATCGATTTATTATCATTATATTTTGTTCGACCTAACCGAACCAGTGTGTACTGTATATTATTGAAAATTCAAACAGTTAAAGTATATAATGTTCTAAAAACGCCGTTCATTGTTCTAGTACTTTTGAAACGTAGAGAAAAAAAAGTAGATTTATAATCTTAATTATTTATATTTATTTTAATCTACAAGAAACGCGTTTCAGTAATATTGTGTATTGTACAAGGTTCGCGCATGTGTGCAACGATAAACAATACAAGTAAACCCCCGTGGCACGATAAAATATAAGAATTAAATCGTTCCAAATTTTTAATGCACCTATAGGGTCAATAAAGGTTCCTTCTTGGAGCCCACTCGGAAGATTCCCGGACGTATATAAAAACGCGTTAAAAGCCCGCCCCGATAAAATATTTAAAAGTACTCGGTCTTTTGCGTTTTTATTTCGTCTAGACCACCCCATCAAGACCGACGGTTTTTAATTAATCAATGACAATGCAAGCCGCCCACACCCCCGCCCGCCTACACATGCAACTATTTTCTGTGCGTTAAGTTTTCATCGCAGCAACTCTTTAATAAATTACATTATATTTGGTTTGCAAAACGCAATATAACTGTGAGTGCTGCTTAATTGAACTCGATTCCAGTTTTAAATCCTCGAGCACAACCTACACTAAAATATGTACTCGGACCGCTCACATCCACAATACCACACCAAATTAATATAAAATAAGCATAATATAGAAATATATGGAAACAATTTTATATGAAAAAATAGTTATTATTATATCGCTACAGTGCAATTTTTCGATTCGTGTAAATCGGTATAATGTTGTACCTTTTTACTTTCTGCGTGGTTTACGGCTATAATATTAATAATATAGTGCTAAATAATTGTGACTGCGAATTGAAACCTACTCGTTGACACAATTTATTTCGGAAATAGTTTCATAACGAACAATCAGTTCGTTATTAAACTACTCAGAACGGAATAATAGTTGCAGTTATTCACGATACCGCGTTATTACCCACTTGAAAAAAAAATGTTTTTTTTTCATACAAAATATTATGTAATTATATACCCAATGCTAGTTTTAATAGCATGTTTTAGTGAAGTAATATTCATAAAACCCCACTCCCCCGACCACAATCAGACGAAAATAATTATCAGTTAAACTTAAAAATTACATTATCAACATTAATTAGTAATATTACTAATAATTATTATTACAAAATAAATCCTGTATTAACTAGATTATGATGGATTCATTATGAAAACTAAATTAATTGTTATTATTAGGGCAGTGAAGTTGTTGCATTTGCCTTTTTTTTTGGAAATGCTTTTATTTATTGCTGAGTGAGCTTAAAATATGTTTCGTTAAACTCTTAATTTAAACAAAAAAAAAATTATATTGCAGTAAATGCAATTTTGGCGATTTTTTTAATTTTACTGCAATTTTAACTATTTTTCATAATTTTTGTTTACACTTAAGATTATATAACTTGATATACATATAAAATAAAAGTAAGTAAACGTAGCAATGAACAAATTTCTATATTTCTTGTAATACTTATTATTTTATTAATATTTCTATAGAACGATTATCGCATAAAGATCTCTAAGAAAACTTAAAAAAATAATTTGTTGTGCAATGCAATAATGTAAGCAATATTCATATTTAATTTTTATTATTATTATTTATTAATATGTTTGATTTCATTGATTATAATTAATTTTTTTCGATGCAATTTTTGATATATTTTAATGCAATAATGCAATCAATTTAGTGAGTTTTTTAATGCAATAACTTCACTGCCTTAGTTAATATACTAAAATAAATTATAGGATATCCGGTGCTGCATAATTGTTTACAATGGATTGACTGTTGCTTACTATTAAAAATAGTAGTACATAGAGCACGGTAGTTGATACGTAACATCGTGAGGAAGAATAATTTACTATTGTTCCCACATTAATAAATTTATTTTCCTACACATCGGTGTACCGAAATTGCCTATACAATGCGCCGTCCAACGGATATGAATAATAATAATATAATATTATTCCAAAAATACATCGAGTGTTTAGTGCACGTTTAGACAGTCGAGTCAAGTTACAGTAGTCGATACGACTGAGTTGGATGTGGAAAAACTTTAATTTGAAACAGTCGAGTAATAAGGAATACGCTGTTCATACTTAACAAAAAAAAAAATTAAATGAAGCCGCAAAACATTATTTTTAACATTTTTTTAAAGCTAGACTTTATAAATCATGAGCAAAAATTGGCAATCTGCAGTTTTTTTATTTACTCCGTAGTTAATTTAGCGTAAGGATACACTCTTGATTTTAATTTAGGTTTTTTAATAATTCCAAATATCCAGTTATTTATTGTTCCCGTCTCATATACAATATAACTTGTGGGAATGTAATTTACATGTTTAAATGGTATATTGTAATATATAATACAAAATATGTATTATGCAATACGAACTGCTCAGTCGGATTGTATTTGTGTGTAATTCTTATTTTGATTGAAAAGTATCGATTTTATGAAACAATATGAGTGATTACTATTACAATATATACAATATGTACAGGTATAATACGCGTATATTACACTCGATTCACGGACAGCGTATCAGATATCCACAGTGACAGCTTGTATTGTTATCATTATTACTATTATTATTAACATTATAATATTATTATATCGGTGTATGATAACGCGTGAGCCTAATAATAATATTATATTCGTACCGAAGATAGAATCGTTGGGAACTTGACAGTTATCCTGTCTATACCTATGTCATTTAATATTATAAACGTGTTAACGATGTCGTATATTATAACACGTAAAGTGTTGTATTATCGTCTACATCGATATAAACACGCTTTATTTGCATGCGATCGTAGAGTATTAAAATATATCAGTTAAATGTTTTTTTGTTTTTTTGTTTTTAAATTGTATACTTCTTTGTTCGGAAAATATTTTAATAATATTAGGTCAGTTTTTATTTTTGGTTATAGTCCTCTTATTGTCACACAACCGTGAGGTGGAGTTTTTCGCAGAAATTATTATTAATTAAAAGTTTTCTCAGCAAGAAGCCACACTGTGGTTCAGAATAGAGCGATCCCCCCCCCAAAAAAAAAACTGTATTATAACGAAGCAAGGTTCTAATATTATTGAAATTCATGTGGTATTGGACACAAATCTTGCACTGTGTCCCTTCGTTGTAGCTAGTATATTATTTTGTGCAAGTGCAAGTTTTTTTGAAATCTAAACGACGGCGACGCACGAACGAATTTTTCAGCGTTCATAATCGCGTTAATGATTTTTATTTATATCGATTTTGTCACTGTTGCAGGGTGTACAACTATCCCACGTGATGATCCCGGGAAAGTGACAGTGGATTAATGAAAAACACGTAAAGAAAATATTATCTTCGATCGGTTGACGGTGGAGAAATGCAGACGACCAGGACTGTAGACGAGGGAATGGCATACGAAAAAAACGATCATTATATACTATATAATATAATATATACCTATACATATATGCTATGATATTATTATATAAATAAAACAACTGTAGCCGACGTAAAAAAAAAAAAAAAAAAATAATATTAATAATAATAATAATAATTTATGTTATAAGAAAAAAAATAATAATCATTGTATACTGAAATAATATTTATTATGGACTTGTGTATAATAATATAGTGATTTTATTTGTATAAAATTGAAATTTGCTACCGAATAAATTGCATTATGACTCAAAGTTCGCAGCAGCCCTGCTCGTACTCTACCACCACCCTCGTCCGACCGACACCTCCTCTACCGCCGCCGACACCAGTCGCTGAGCACGAGAAGTTAAAAACAAATATGGCCGGGACGGGGAGATCCACTGATAATGGAAATGTAACTCAATCTAAACAAGAAACGTGTTTACTTAAGTCTGACGAAGCAAGCGCATGTGTAGTTCTGATATTATACAAAGCGCATTATATCATAGCATCTTGTGGCAGGGAAAACAGTTGGTATATATACTCTCTCCGGCGAAGATGACACGACGGAATCATTTTTCTCCTTTCTCTTTCTCCACTTCTATATATATGTGTGGCAGTGGCTATATTATGATATTCGACGGTTCGGCATGGCGAGCGTAAAGCGGGAAAACGAAAATCGTTTTATCGCGTCTCTCCGACGGATTACATTTTAAAATTACTATCCGCCACACCGTCTCGTAAACATTTTATTTCGTATCAGTTAGCTTATAATATAAATTAAAAAAAAATAAAAATAAATACGCCTCAGCGCCTTGTATTATTATATCGCGCAACGTCGTTTTTCTTTTTTTTTTTTTAAATTTGTTTTAGTTTTCCCGACCATTATTGTTTTCCAGACACGATTCATCGGTCTCTGGAGCTATCTCTTGAAAAAAAAATACTATCGTTACTTTTCCAAAACGTCAACAATAATATGTTGACTCGACGTATTGAAATCTATTATTTACAGTACGGTTTTTATTTAATGAAATTAATATTTTATCAATCAATTTTTCAGTAACGCTTATTATACCTACATTTGTGAGAGAAATAAAATGGGTGTATATTGATTCGGCCGCGCATTAACAATTTAATATAATTTATGATTAAAATTATAAGCTATATTATACAAGTGTTGGTACTTGATTCGTTGTGTAACCCATACTTTAATATGTAAATTATTATTTTGAATTATATATTTTTTTTTAATAAATCATACCTATACTAATAATATTATGTTTTATACTCGTTGTATTAATCTATATTTAATTATTACATAATAATAATATTATACATTAATATTAATTTAATTTAACATTAGGAATGACTTAATATGTTATAAATCAATTTTTTTGATACAAAAATCGAATATAATATGAATTCAGTCTTAAATAATATGTGGCTGGTTTCTTCGAATTTTAAAAATGTACGACCTCTGCAGAATCGATAGGTAGACATGATTATGAAGAACTTACCTATACCTATGGACAACATCCTGCAACGGAGCTTATATAATAAATGTTTATCATAATAACAGCAGAACGTTTCTGGGGAAGTCTCCTATTTTTTTGTTTCTTCCTAAAATTCTTGGAAATAATAACTTTGTTTCAAATAATATTGTTATCGTCCATAAATATTACACGAGTATAGTACTGAAACAGAATAATTTATATCCTTTCCGTTTATTAGTTTTCTATTTTTTTCAGCTTTCTACGATGGACGTTGTTTTTTGTTCGCATTCCTTAAGTTCAGAACGATTAAACACTATTAACCGTCAGGTGGTATAATATGTATAGGGAAAACGAAACGTTTCAAGGAATAATAGGTGAAACTTACGCCGTGTGGTTTTTATAATAATAGTATAATAGTGGATGTGATGGAGCCATCATAGCTACGTGATTATAAATTGAACTCCACTGTTTACGTCTATCCATCGCGTATTATATATTATAATTATAATACAATAACTACCACGGTATCATCGGATCAAATTGAACAGTATCCGATTATGATTATTATTATTATAATTATTGTTGTTGTTAGTGAATCGATTAGTGTGTTATAGTGTTTATAGCCGCATGGTTACCCGCGTGAACTGCTGAAGCCCTGCGATAATGATTATTATAACTCGACTAACCCCTTTTATTAGGTACCACCGAATAACTATTTTTACTATGCCACCGTGACCATTACTATACCTTACGACGTATTAAAGTGTAGGTAAAGTGAACAGGTTTAGCGTTTGGCCTGCATTAAATAATATTAACGTCATGTCATACAAATTGTGACGCAAGTCTGTGACGCTATGACGTAATACGGTGATTACGATGAAATTCAAGATGGTAAAGGACAACATTTTTTTTTCTTAGAACATCTATTTTGCATAGTATTTCCGGTGCGGATCTATCTTCCTAACGTCCAGGATTTTATTCAATAGGTAAGTTGAGTACGGATCAAAAAGGTCAAAAACAGGCGATAGTTGAATATGCGTCCCAGCTGTATACCTTTTTTATAACCTAATTGCGTCTCGAAAATTGAAACAAAAAAAAATAGATTATTTAAATGTACTTCGTTAATATACTCATGGATATACGGTATATCCGTCTTCGTGTGTACTACTAACCGTATGTTGTACATATTATTTAATATAATAAATAAATATCGAAAAATGACGGTTGTAATAATATATTTTCTATATATTTAAATCTATCTATACTCTATTCAGAATAAGATTGAACCACTTAGCCGACCAAAACACGTTTTTTCCGCGCACCTCTACCACAATTCGATCGTTAGCACCCAACGACAGACGACGTCCAGCGATGACTGTCGGCCAATCACAGAAAGCATAACCATCGTACTGTTCAGCGGCTCAGTCTGCATGCGCAAAGTGGTTCAATCTTATTCTGAATAGAATGTTATGTCGTATACGCACTTTCAGTGATATACCTCTATCGACACTAGAATTACCAAAAGACCATAAATTTACCGGTTACAGTTTGGCTCTCCAGACGTCGATATCGCTACCTTACTGTTTAGACTTTCAATCTTAAACGACCATAAATTAACCGGTTACAGATCAGATTTAAGGAGTACGTAGAATTGTGTGGCTACTCAAACAAAACATATAATTTTCTGGTCGGAAACACTTTTTATTAACTTATATAAACAAACACAAAATTAACAATCAAACGTATCACAGTATTGACATACCGCGACTGCCCTCACTTACTATTCTTTTCGCCTTATATCTATTTTACAATTTAGCTGCCTCAGCACATTTGCTTCACTGGCCTACATTACAAATGTGATTATACAGTAGATTCTCGTTATGTCGAATCTCAAGGGAAACAGAAAAAAGTTCGAGATATCGAAAACTTCGAGATATCGAGTTTTATTAAAAAATAAAAAAACTAATATAAATGTATGTTGTATAATGTATATGAATAATAAATAATACGAATGACTAAAATAGACTAAAATTTGAATAATTAAAATACTAAAATGACTGAAAAAATTATTTTTCTTTAAAAATATCTGTCATTAAGGATTGCTTCATATTACTTCTTTCTGCCACGACGTCTTCCAAATTATTTAATGCAGAAAAAGCCTTATCATCTATACCTGTAGTAGTCTCAACAAAATTCCTTAGTGTTTTTAAAGCATCTTTAGCTTGTTGAATTGTTACTTGGGTAAAAATGACTTCCTCCTCATTTTGTAGTTCGTCTGTTAACCGTAACAAAAATATTATTTGTGAACTCGAGATAACGAAAAACGATTAATTTTATATCGAGTTATCGAGAGCAAAACACTATTAAGTGTAATAGTAGTTTCAAGGGGAATTCAAAGTAGTTCGAGATAACGAAAAATTCGAGATAGCGACGTTCCACATATTAAGAATCTACTGTATTATGCTGTTTATACATATGGTCACCTATTACTACAGTTACATACGATTTAATTTTGATTCCCATCGAAGTGGATAATATATATTATATTATACAACGTATCCAGCGCGTTGGTAGTGCCGTGAAGCTAGGTAAGTAAAACAAAAAAAAGCGAGTAACCACTAACATGTATTAACAAGAGCCAGAGTTGTACCATTGAAAGTACCAGGGGCGTCCTCAAGGGGGGGGGCGAATGGGGCAGTCGCCCCCTCCATGAGCTATTTTTTCTTTCTTAAAATGTTCATAATTTTTATTAAAATATAATACTAGGAAAAAATTATATAAGCCCGCTGATTTAGTAAAACTTACAGAAGATAATGTAGAACTGAAATTAACTGGTATTGTTCTGGGAAATGCTGTTGTATCAATTATGAAAGACATGTCGTTAGACTTAAATAACTGTGTAGGGATTGGAACCGATGGGTGCTCAGTCATGACATCTGTAACACGTGGAGCAGTTGCTGAAATTCAGAAAAACTGTCCCAATGCTGTTTACAGTCCATGTTCAAACCATGCATTGAACTTGAGCATCTCAAAGTCATCTAATGTACAGTTAGTTAGAAACACTATGGGCATCATAAAAGAAGTTCTATCTTTTTTTAATACATCTTCCAAAAGAAGTTTTGTTTTAAAAAATTGCCTTAAAGGCCTTAAACGCTCTATTACTGGATTATGCTAAACACGATGGGTCGAACGGCATGAGTGTATTTTTGAATTTCAAATGTGCTTATCAGAAATTATTGACAGTTTGACTTATATATCTGAATGGATTGATCAAACTTCATCGTCAAAAGCAAAGACACTATTACATAGCAATGCGCTTTTAGATATTGATAATATAATTAATCGCTTTGCTAAATCTAAGCACAAAATAGATTTTATTCTTTGATTTGTACATTTTTTTTTTGCATT